GCAACCTCCGCGTACATCCACCTGCCCTTTTTTGCGCAGCGCTGCGAATACTGCGCCTTCCCGATGGTCGTGTCCGGGAACGCCTGTCTGCCGGCAGCCACGCACCACCCGCCGCCGCCGCAAGCATATCTCGAAGATGTCGACGTCCTCTGCCGCGAGATCCGCGCCGTCGCCTCGCGCTGTCCGTCCCTCCCGCGCGCCCCGCTCTCCACGCTCTATGTATGCGGCGGCACCCCGTCGATGCTCCACCCTGACTTCCTGGCCGGCGTCCTGCACCTCGTCCACCGCTGCTTCGGCCTGACCCCCGACGCAGAGGTCACGTGCGAAATATATCGAGGAGGCTTTCGAGTTCCTGTTCAATAAAAGAAGATTTACGACCAGTACCACTTGCTACCAATTTCTGAGGAGTACGGTTTCGTTTCGAGCGACCTCTCGGGATAAACAAGCGGCGCTGGGTTGTTACTGGGTGTGACGAGGCGGGAGGAACAGCAAGATCCCGACAAACAGAAGACGGCAGACTTCGACGAGAGGGGGCAATGGGTGAACGTTGACACAGTTCGTGTTGTTCAATGGAAACGATGCGCGGCCATATGTGTACGCATTGGGGCCTTGTCGGACAGAGGGAGATGCTATACGGGGAGCAGGATTGTAAGAAGGAAGGCGAGATAGGAAAAATTGGGATGGTAAAGGTCGGTGGACCAAACAAAATGACCACCGCCCGGTTGAAAGTTGGGGAGGTATACTGTAAATTTTGTCTACACGTGTAGAACGGAGGCGGATATCCATAACAGTAGCCTAGGTACGCGAGACGACAAGGAGAGTCATTTCGTTGCTTTATCATACGCGAAGAGGTACAATGACGGCTTATGATAAGAGGTGTGAGGAGTAGTTTTCAAATGTGTTATGACACCGGATAACCGACCTCTCAGAACAGGTGGAACATGGCGAGTTTCTACGCCCTTCCACAGTTTTTGAAAACGCATCGTCATTTACTACATAAATTATTTCCTCTCATTCCACCAATCTATTCATGCCAAATGTCAGGGTCCTTGCGTGCTAGCACACAGTGCTCGTCGTTAGGAACGGCCCTGAATTACGGTGTTCGGGGGTGCCATTTTCGTATGGAGCAAATCGTATTCCAGAAAAAGAAAGTTGGATAGAAGCCTCATCGAAGACCACGTGTCACCTACTGTAGGCGGCACTTCAGGCAATGAAAAAGTGCATCGCTTAATCTGTCTCCAGTGCTACAGTTCGAGCACTAATGTCCGTAAAATAACGCGCTGCGCGCTGCTTTGTTTTCATTTTGTGGTTCCGTGAACTCCGATACCCCCCGATCCCCGAGGGAGCGGGTGGCCGTCGGAGACTTTATTGCGTCGTGACTACGGTATGCCCTATTGGCTGTGTCTTATTACTGTGGTGTGCCGTACTGCCGTCTGGATGTAACCACACATTTGCCCACAAAATCGATGGACGCAAGGTAAACCCGTGATTGAAAAATTCCGCCACGTGTTTTGCGGACTGACCTCCAGCCGGGTGCCTGCCCGCAACAAACGCAAGTCTAGTACAACGTTGTGCCGCCCGACAGATTACGTGCACCTGCGCGAATACCTGCTGAAGCGAATATTGTAGCTCGCCACAAGGATAGAATGGTCTCTCAGTCGAAAGAGCGATGTGTTTCGTCTTCTTGACAGGCTGAGGAGAGCCGTTTAGAGAGGACCGCTTTTTAGAAGCTTCTACTCGTCTATCTTTCGCGGTTGCTTCGGCGGCATCTGTGGCACATCCTGTCGCGCTTTGATCCGTTGATGGACTCTGCGCAGATGAAGCGATAGGGGCGTCCATGACGCATAACGATACGACCCGTGCAGTCTGAGACTCGTTTGTGCTGATGAAAAGAACAGAAAACCACTTTGTTTTCCTTCATGACGGGTCGATCCGGCACTGCTGTGGTCAGGCGAATGTGAAACTCGTGGAAAACTCACATGCCCCCAGTTTTCGGTATGACGTGAGTTTTGCCAAACGCGTTGTCGGAAATTTTTTCGTTTAGAAAATATGAGCAGACACGCCACCAAAACACGCGTTTTCGTGACTTTACGGACAATCTTAGTGTACGAATTTGGCATAAATACACCCCCCACCACTGGGATAGATGCACTTTTGACACCGCTGGCGCATCACCACTGGAAAGTGCGTGACTTGTACCAATCCAAAACGTTCAACTTGTCATCAAAATAGTGATCCTGCAGTTCTTAATCTGTGACGAGTTGGTCCAGTTTGATGTGAATATTAAGGTCTTGCAGTTCACCACGAACGCGTGCAAGGGTTAATTTTTGCACTTCTCGTACTTCGCCCTTGAGTCTTTGCACGACTAGTTGTCGGCGACGAACGGAATGAAGCCGTGTGAACTGCTCCATTTGGCCATATACTGCTCCCTGCTGTGGTGACTTCGGACAATGAGCGACATGACTGTGCACATCGTGTCGACTAAAGTGAGATATGCACCATGCACAGAAGTGATGCATACAACCATCGCATGTGAGATCAAAGCACCCGTCAAAATCGATAAAAGCCATCCGGCAGTTTGGACAGCGGAGGGTCAGGATTTGATCAATTATTTCAAGGCGAAGAATCTCCGCGCGACGTTCATCTAGATCCTGAATTTGCTGAATCCGTTTGAACTCTGCCTCGAGCTCCATTTTCTGTACGTCCAATGCAGCTTTTACATGACGTTTGGCATGCGTTGCAATTTTGAGTTTTTCCAGTTCCGATTGAAGTGGTTGAAGCTCCTCTTCACTAGCGTCCTGCCTCTGTCGCAATAGATGCAGGATGTCATATGTCCTCTTGCAGCCATCGTGTGGGCATGCCAAATTCCCGTCTTGATCAACAATACGACGAAGGGTGCCTGGTTCTTGAGCTCTCTTTGCGTAGCTACCAAAACACTCTCCACACAAGAAATGATCATCTGGGCACCCCCAAGCTTTGAACGCCGGGATGTTGTCCATACATATTTCGCATCGCCGATGGAATTGTAACTCGACTTGATATAATGGTATTACAGAGCCCGCAGTCCAAAAAACCCGGCCGAATGGTTCACCCATCGGTTTTAAAGAAATGTGGTCGTAGCCCTTTGCCCTGCAAGACTGCATTTGTTTCAATGCCTTTTTCCGGGCCTCCGTCTGACAGCAGTCACTTCGCACTTGAGCCATAAAAGGTTCTACGTCATCCAGCATTTGATGACGCAGAACAGCACCGACAAAAATGGACCATGGCGCATTATGTCTACGCTTCTCACTTTCATGCACAATAGACTTCTCAGATAATATCTTCCCGGTAATACCCATCCCATACCGTGTCATGAGGCTTCTAAAGCAGTCTTCTGGTTCTTCTTTAGACGTACGAGTGCAGTAAATAATATCGTAAGCACCGTCTTCGCTGGGAAACTGCGGCGGAGCGCATAATCTGCGCTCCCTTTCCCCGTTCCTGATCGCTGCAGCGAAGTTATCAATGTTTTGCTGTAAGAGCCGGAGGTAGGATTGGAGCAAACGTTCGACCGGGATGCACTGCACTCTATCACATTTCATGATCCATGATTCAGGGAGGTTTTCAAGCGCACGGGAGCGAAGCACAGCCAAAAGTGCGTTGATGTTGAATATGTCACAAGAATTCGCACCATGCAAACGATTTTCAGCTGCATTTGCGAGAATTGTGGTTTTCTCATTTCGAGGTGAAGCTTTGGCCGCCACTTCTTTTTGCAACGAGACCGTTGCATGCACGTCCAACCACCTTTTGTGGGTACATACAATGCATACCTTCATCAGAGGCTTCCAGCGCGGATCCTCGTCACCACATTGCCAAGAAATCTCATGCCCGCATTGGAGGTTGGCATTTACCACACTGCCGCATTGAACTGCCTCCATATAACATGGCGCTGGCGTTATGTTTATGCGACAGACAGAACATTTCTTCTTAACCACACGGTTGCATCGCAAACCATCTGGATTTTTCTTCAGTTCGTGGCATGGTTGAGCGCTGGTCTGGCCGCATCCAGCACATTCAACGTTCTCGAGTTGTTCGCAAATCGAGGTCATAGCGGTGAAAATGGTCTCACAGGGAACTGTCTTTTCATGGCCGCACTTTCGTTGCAGTAGAGTCGATTCTCCGCATCGCAGCAAGGCAATGGTCTGTAGTGCTGGAAGAGCTGGTAACTGCACGCCCTCATGAACGACTGGACAAGTTCTGACTTCATCATCCATACTTAAAGTGATACGCTCTGGAGGCTGACCTCTCCACAGATCTGCAGCCAAGATGTCGGCTTTCTGGTTACAGGCGATAAGCAGTTGGTGCTCGCACAGAGGCGATTTCATCGCTATCTCATGTCTACATGCTGGGGCTTCTTGGGGAAATTCAGCCCATTGAAAGGCGATGTCACACTGTACATCACTGTCTATATGACCACACATTCTCCGGTAAGAAACACGTTCAAGACATGCTGGTACGCCTAATGCACTTTCGCAGTAATCGGCTCCCTCTTGGACTATCCTCGGTGAGATTTTCGCATTCAGGCAAGAACCGGGAGTTTTCTTTCTCAACTTCCCTTCCATGTGACATGGCAATTCAAATGCATGGCCACAACGTGCGCGAACAGCTTTAACCTGGAGAGGGCACTGAATGTCAGTGCTCGCTTGAAGAAGTCGTAGATGATGGCACGTTTTCGGCTGCAGTGTGTGTCCGCTTTTTCCGCAAGGATATTTAAACACTTCGTCAACATATTCGGAACACACAGGGAGCGTATTTCCTCGGTGATGACATGAAACTGTACAAGGGTGACCACATGGGCGTTTGAGAACGACGGGTGCGTTACAAGATGGAAATTTTTTGTGTTTTAAAGACGCAAAGATGCGTGAGCACGAAAAAGCACTCGTTTCATGTCCACATTCTCTCGCAATAACAACGGAGCAGCTGCACGCATTTCTCAGCTTATTGAGAATTGGATCTAGTGGTGGAGCAGCTCGGAGCATTCGCTCCTGTGCGAAGCGTTGTACCTGACCAGTGGCGAGGTTAACATGTTCTTCAAATACCGTATTTGCCAAAGCCCTGCATGCAGTGCGGAGATAGCACTGACTTGCTATCTGATGTCCGCAAATTGGACTCTGGAAAATTACTATCTCAGTGCAAGGAGGCTCGTCAATAGTCCCAACAGCGAGTTTGAATGCCTTTGAGCATAATACAATCGAACTATGTCCGCATGAAGCAAGATATTTTGTTTCGACAAAACACTCTTTGAAGACCCTTGTAAATCTCGAAGGATATGCCTGGCTAATGTCAGCCTCTGAAGGCCCGTAAATAATACCATACCGGATTACGGGAGGATCACAGTTGACAGCCTCGTCTCCCTCTTGCGACCAAAGCTCTTGCAGTGCCATTGATTCATAGCAGCGAGATGATAGCAAATGGGAACAGCGAGGACGCGGTCTTGAAACTGCTTCCTGGCATAGTGGGGCTTCAATCATCGCACATTCTTGCATTTTGTCATGGCATGGTTGTCGCACCTCGCAACCACAGCTTCGAATGTGGTCCACTGCAACTTTGCACACTGGCGGTTCGTTTTCCCATTGTCGACGTCTGTAGCACGATGGACCGAGCGATCTGTGACCGCAAACTGGATGCACGTAATCCGCCACCGCCTTTTCACAATTCTTTAACTTCAAAGACCCATCGAGGATTCCCATGTATTGATGGCAGGAGATTTTTAAAACATGCGAACATTCTGGTCTGTGATACGGGACTATGACTTCGCACTGGAACTTGCTCAATGCGTCCTTCAATGACTCGGCCTCCATGTTTTGCTTTTGGCGTACATTGCAACAATGAAGACTGATTTCTGAATGTGTATCGCATGGTCTTGGAACGAGCATTTTGCACTTGCTCGTATGCTGCCTTTGGGATGATGAGTGACAAAGTTCTTGACAGAGATGGCTACACCAAGGTAAGCTAAAAGTACATGGTTTCGAGCAAAAAGAGGCCAACTCTTCTCGCTTTGCCGGAAAATCACTTGGTGTGGAGATCTCTTTCGACGAATCAGGATGCCGTGGGCAGCGAATATCTAGTTTCCGACCAATGCGGCTGGGCTGCCCCATTATTCCTTCATTCGCGCCTTGCCCTGCGTTTGTGTGAGAACATTCACGATCTTTGAGCAGACGGAGCCAGTGCAGAGGGGCGCTTCCATTTTGATGATTGGAACCAAAAGCTCGAGATGAACCAAGGATGTAAAACCCGATAGGAGCCCTGGACGCCTCAATAGTAATTTGATTTTGTATAGCAGTAAAGAGATTGTCAGGCCTGGTGCAGACGAGTGATAGAATAACAACGTCGTTTTCATCGCCTTCATAGCGATCAACTGTTGAAACCGTAACCTCATTTCTTCTAGCTCCCTTCGTGCCATTAGGTTGCCCCAAAACCGCGCCAGGTATTCCCCGCAGTTTTTTGACAATCTTGATCTTTTGGCCTTTGTAGGGTGTTATAACAGTGATGCCTGCTGGAGCAACTCCGCACTGAAGAAGCCATCTGACCAATCCAGCGCAAAACTCAGCCTCTTTATTGTTGCAACGAGATAGACCAACGGATGTTCGCTCTTCTTCACCCTCAATTTCCCAGAAGAAGACGGCCGACTCTAAACCTGGTACAGCATTCCCTTGCCCGTACCACAGATCGCGTTCAGATGACTCTGGTTCGGGCTCTTTATCCTTGAGGGAAGACCAGGTCCTCTTTATGGTTGGTTGAAACTGACAGTCACTTATTCGCTGAGAAAGGGTACATGCATGATCAGTGATGTTAACAACATCCTCGTACTCGCAGTTTGTCAAAGCCGAAACTTCGGGCCGCATTGGTCGCTGTTCATCAAGAACTGTGCAATGGCTTGTCCTTCCAGCGCCACCACCTGCCCCGCTCTGGACCAAACGCTCAAGCAAGGACACTTTTGTAGAGCGAAAATTGACCTGAGTCGGAAACCAACATGGCTGAACATATGCAGGCAGCTGGCGATGGTTTCTAATCAGTTCTAGCTTGCGCAGCGACCGCACGGCAAGCACGGAAACAAGAGTTGGCTCAAGAACTTCGCAAGCCTCTTCCACGACCATAGCAAATGGTTCTGACGCCCTAATTGCTTTCAGGCGTCCGGTTGCGCCTACTATCGTTGAGCCTATTAACCTCGCCTTTTTGAAAGCATAAGCCGCGGCTTCCTGTAGCTCCCGACGGGCAAGTTCGACGTGGTCTTCTGCAAGAACGACTAGGTCATCAATAGAGCGGATGACGCCTCCAAGAAACTCCGATACAAGACTCCAGCGCTTAGAATGTGACTGGTTCCAATTCCATTCGTCTGAACTTGATAAATACCCACTGACTGCACTTGCTACTTGAGCTTGTCTATGGTTATTGCCGATGGTTGATATTACAGCCCCTTCGCACCACCCGTCGTTATGTACCGAAGTTGGTTTTTGGGCACTATGAGCGTTACAAAAGAACGTGGAACCGTGGCTCGCGTTGCCGACTGTTTTGCAGCGTTTCTGCTTGGTAGTGATTCCTTCGCAACGCACTTCAACGGGTGTTGCAAGTACTGTACTCGCCATCACGCAACCGCCTGCGTCATTTGGAGCGACACAGCGTGGCGGTGGATTAGACCCACCGAGCCAGTTGTCAAGCAAAAACACCATACGACTCTTTCCTATTGTTAACCAGTGTTCTGTTCCCTTGTTTAGGCTGCTCAGGTGCTCTATTCCCTCATGGTGCAGATCTAAGGTTGACAAGTCATCTCGTAGAAGAGACTGAATGAGCCCATATGCCGTTGCGCTATTGAGTTCGTTGCAGGAGTCGGCAGCGTTGACACGGCCATGAAGGAGCAAAGCATGTGCTAAAACCAAAACTGCGTCATATACTCTCTCTCCAAACGCGAGTGATGTCTTGACTTCTATGGTCCTCAGAGTTTTCAGGCGCTCAGCTTGCTCTGTAAAGCTCTCACCAAATTCATCTTGCACTTTACGCCAGCTTCTCAGAACCCCTTTTACTGCACGAAGGCTGGCGACACGTCTTGAAAGCGTCTCCTGCGCTCTAATTTCAACAGCGTTGCGGCCCTCGCAATACTGATGTAAACGCCCGTCTTCCGGCTTTCCACATCTAATCATTCCGCGAACTAGAGATGAATGGCAGCCCTCGGCTTTCATCACGTCCAGAAGAAACTGATCAAGGGGGCGGTTCTTGTATGAAAGCACAACTATGGGACCCACCGACATGCCAGACTTTGTCGCATAGGATCGTATGACGTCCAAAGCACGGACCAGAACGACACCAACGTAACTTTTTCCAGTGCCAGGAGGACCCTGCGTGCAGTGCATAGGACTTGAAAGAGACGCTGACAGCGCCCGCAGTTGCGTTCCGTATAGGTTGGCGTTCTTTGCTAGTTGCACGAGGGAACGACTCAGGTCTGATCGGATGTTTTCTGGAAGCCGCTTGATCAGGTCAATTTCGCTTATCGCCAGAGCACTTTCGATCGCTTGTTCTATACTTGTGTGAACAATAGGTTCAGTTCGAATTTCTCTAGAACCGATCAGAACGTCCGAGAACAGGAGTTGCTCGAGGTGACTGTGGAATTCTACGTCGGTAATTGTGGATAGTACAGAAATCACTTCAGGCACCAACACTTGCAGGTCGATAACGGCCACCCATGCCCCTCTTTCAAGCCCTTCTTCGTTCCGAGGGAGCGTTGATACATCTGCACGATTGAGTAGGCGTAGAGCTAAGCGACCTTTGCTTCGCTCATGGAAGTCCTTTCCCGAGCCGCTTTTTTGGTTCACAGGTACAACCTCTGCCCATTGGAGGGCGTGTTGAGAAGAAAGTGGCTCTCCTGATATCCTAAGACGCATCACAGCAACAAGTGCAGAACATTTAAGGCGATACGTCGTCTTCCAATTGGGAGAAACAGAAGGGGGTTTGCGGGACTTCATTTGCGAAAGAACGTAAACAACGCCGTCTCGTCTGACTGTGTCGCGTTCAACAAGGCAGTCATATACGTCAGTTGACGCCCGCGGCCCAGGATTACTAGTTAATTTGTGTTGCTGTTCGGCCAAACAACGTTGGCACGCAACATCATGACCACTTCGAGAACATCGCCAGTGTGCAGGCCTCATGCAAATCTTGCCGCCGGACAGACGACGGCGACACTTCTTTTTACGTGCATTGGAAATCACAGTACAAAGCGGTCGTCGACATGACTGGTCATCTTGCCCCCGGGTTTGGCATTTTGGGAACACTGCTCCGGCTCCCCAATAGAACGTGAGCATTGTGACCAGTCGCCGCAGCGTGTGAATGTAATGGTCTACACTGTCATTGCTCCGGATTAAGTGTGGCGCGTCCAACCATTCACCTTTCTGGAGCCATGCAAGTGTCGGTGTGCGCCAGCCACTCCAAGTCTTGTCGTCAGCCTCAACCGCAATGCCATGGTCTTGATCAGTATCATCGGTGATCTGGCGCTTGTAACTACACGCTAAGCCGTCAAGCAACGGCAACAAGCGAGTAACAAGAATAGCCCCACGGGTTGCGAGGGAAGGATCTGAAATCGAGCGGAGGATGGCACCATGGGATATGCTACGCAGTTCCTGCGTTTTTGCTTCACAATCAGACCGTTCATGTAATGAGATTTCTGCCGGGTAACTGCGCAAGCGATTCTCAACAACGTCTGCAACATGTTCAAGGGTCTCAACCAGAGATCTTGCGTTTTGCGTTTGTTTAGCACAACTATGAACAAGGATAAATAGCACGCTCAGCACATCGTTAGGAGGAGGCGCCAATATTGTCGTTGCCGGGAAGCGCATGATTGCACGTGCAAGCGTGCAGGCGTGGTGGGCTTGGGCGCCTTTGCCGACCACGGCCCAACACTGCATCCAGAGCTCAAGATCTCGAGGCTTGCTTATGTCGAGCCTAAAATGGCGTGCGGAAAGCGCCTTCTGAACACGATTTAGAAACTCGACAATGGTATCTGATGTGTGATGAGGTGAAGCCCTAGCCTTCTGATGCCCCTGTGGCGAATTGGCATGAGAGAATTTACATCGGCCTCCGAAGCAACACGAGCCCTTTTCCATGAAACTGGAACATAAGGGAGATTGCGGAGATCCAGAAGCGTAATTTGTGTTCTCGCGGCGTGTGTTTGGTACTTTGTGGGAATAGTGGCATTTGTCACCAACCTTGCAGGAGCCGTTTGATTGAAACTCATAGCATATTTGCTGGGATTGTCCGTTGCCACTATCTCCAACATCTGATGCAGGCCGAGAATGCGTAAAGCCACCGCGACCAGAAATAGGAGAGAGATCGGATGGCTCTTGAGTCCCGTCTCGACGTTTAGTGTGTTTCTTGGGCATATCGCGTGCAAATGCCGAGGACAGACGAATTAACACGTGTTTCCGGTTTCTGGGCTATGCGAGTAAGTGTAGCAGAGCGCAGGACCGCTGATCGCCCTTAAATCTTCTCGCTTCGTAAAAGTCTTCCTGAAGGTGGGTCTGCGAGAGAGAACATTGGGAAGGAAAGGTTGAAGAGTTGTGATGGGTCGCGAATGTTCGTTGAAGATTCCTTCCGGCTTACCGACCCTTCTTGGGAAAGGTCTGTCGGGTCTTAAAGATTGAAAACTGGTTCTCCTGGTTGTGAATAAACTTTGATATTCTTATCATACGCGATATTCACCCTGATTTAAATACAATTCTCAATAAATTGAATTAGAGTACACTGTAGGGGCAGAAGAGGCATCGAATTAGTTGAAAACTCAAAATAAGGCACCCTATCACAGTACAGGGGGGGGTCGAGATACTGTATACTGTAGTGCTACCCTGTGTCAGTGGGCCGAAAACGGCACTACAGTGAACCCTTGACAGAAGGGATGGCTTGGTGGAAGGGCCAGACTCTCGTACGGTACCGCCAATAATTATAGCCGCACCCCACAAATATGCATTGCTGGTAAAGGAATCTTACTTTGCATAAAAAAACAGCTTTGTCCTTGACGCATTCCTGCACGCCGAGTCCAAAACAATGCTCAGATTTTGAAACGCATCAATAGTTTGGAAGATATGCATCAAAAACCATTTATGGGGTGACAGTAATTATAGAGTACAGTGCTTCTAAACAACCATAACTCTGGTTCAGTACTTCGTAGGGCCACCTTTGGCCATCGCACAGTCAAGGCAACGCTTCTGCATGCTTCCTACTAACTTATCCAACGTCTCAGTGTTGATATTTTCCCAGCAGTCCATTATACATTCGAGTAGCTCATCGATATTATTAAACTGCCTTTCATGTGCGTACACTTTCCTTGCCAAGATCTCCCAAAAGTTTTCTATAGGGTTGAGGTGAGGGGACTTGGCAGGCCAGTCCATAACGTGCACTTCCTCCTCTTCAAACCATTCGTAAACGCGATTAGCACGGTGTACAGCTGCACCATCTTGCATAAACGTCCAGCTAGGACCGAGCTCTTGATCAACAAAAGGAAGGAGATTGGTCTCGAGAGTCTAAATATACTTGAGCGCATTCTGCTTCCCTTCTAAAACGACCAAGTCACACTTCTTTTTCCCAGCAAACGCACCCCAAACCATCACCGAATCACCCCCTTGCTGCCGCTTTGAAAAAACCTTTCTATCCTTTCGTAAGTCATGCCAATAAAACGCGAAGCCGTCTGGTCCGTCGAGATTAAACTTCTTCTCGTCAGACCAGACTACATTTGCCCAATCACCAGGCGTCCAGGTCACCTTATCTCGAACCCAACTTTCTCACGCGATTTTGTGGCGCGGAAGCATCATTGGTGCGCGTGCCATGCGCATATACTGAAGGGTGGGAGTGCTGCTGAGTATTGCACGCACGTGGCTGGACTTAACAGGGAGCTGGAGTGTCTTGACAAGTTCTGTTGATGTCATTTCTCCCTTGTGCGCTTCTCGGATCAGCGCCCTTTTTGCCTGCGCAGACAGCGTAGGCTTCCTCCCGCTCCTTTTCTTTGTTCCGTAGAGCTCGGGGGCTTTCAAGTAGCTAGCTACTACTTTTGCGGACCTGCCTAGATGCTTCGCGATGCGGCGTATCGACCACTGAGCATCATGCAGGCCCGCAATTTTTCCTTTTTCTTCAGCCGTTAAGGATTTACCGCGCGGCATAATTGGGGGGTCTGTTAGGTACTTTTTTACACGGAAGGCTGCTTGTGTTGAAGCGTATTGTATTGGGCTTTTAACGAGCTAAAGAACGCGGCAAGCAGTCTTTCGGTTGCCGAGTTCTTGGCGCGAGAATGTACTGTACTCTATACTTAATGTCACCCCATGAATACACATGTATTAATATCTGCAAAAGTATTTATGCTTTGCAAAATCTGATTGCAGATTCCGACTCAGCACGCATTGTTTTATCAAGAATGTTGTTGTTTTTTATGCAAAGTGTGCTGCGTGCCACAGCACGGCACAACTTGGGGGTGCAGCTATAAATAATGGCGGTACTGTACACTATGTCAAGGAATTTCTTGTGTGAGGACCCGTTTTATGTACCATATTGTGTTCCAGTACCTACATCTACCCTTCCCCGGCAGGGTAATTTGGAACGCATTCCCTTTTTTAAAATGGAGAAAGTACTTGTTTAAGGGTTTTGTTGCCAAAACAGGGTCCATTCGAAGCGCCGTATTCTCGTCGATAAAATGAGCCTATCAATTCTTCATGTGCCTGGATCTCGTGAGAACCTACCCAAATCTATTGTTAATGGTCAACATTGCCGGAATTCCAGAAAATTCGGCAATTTGGAACGTGTTTTTGGGCGTGACAAGCAGGTTTTCAGGGAGTTAGAATAGTACACGTGTACAATTGGTGCAACGCTTGGCACATTAGTGAGTTTACGCCTGAAAAATTCACACAACATTCGCACAAGATTCTGCAACTAAACACACGTGTCAGATACAGTTCCAGAATTCCCGTACACGGAACCCGGCGAGTTACTGAAATGTGAGCTTTGTGTGAAGCCAAAACTGCAATGACTTCCCGACTTCCGGCCATTTTGATCGCCTCATCTGCACCACATCTGATTAACAGCACCTCTGAGGCACTTTTTAGCAGATGTGTTCCAGATCCCTCGACAAGCTTGTGGGATAACTCCTCTTCACCCTAGGCGGGGTGAGAAGCGGAGGCTTTATCGAGGGAGCACTCGGCGCGGATGCCACGCGCTAATTGAACCGATCGGACGAGCTCGCGAAATGAGAGTGGCTCACTGGCCGGTTACGCGCAGTCGCCTCGCGCGATAGACAACCGAAACGGACGTATGTAGGTGCGAAAGGGACGGGGGCGAGCTTGCCCCAGTTTACTGTTGGGGACGGGTGTCAGGTCTTAACCCCTCAGAAGGACGCCTCGGACACCTGTCCCAGTGCACAGTAGTACAATACCTGCCGCCTAAAGCGTGCCGGGTACTGTACACAATTAAAAAGCTAGCGCCATAATTACTACTACCCCGCGGACGCTGCTACTACACGTGTGCACTACTGTACACGCGTGATGCTTACAGACTACCGCACGGACGACGCGTGTGCTACTGTACACGTGCGCCACGACACGGCCGGTCGGTACACGCGCGCGCCCCCGACACGTGGGCACACCCGCCCACTTGTCCACCGTGCACGGCGGCACGGTTAATACCTACCCTCTGCAGGCCAGGTGAGGGCCGCCGCTGCCGCTCGGGCGGCTCTTCACCGCCTCCCCACACCCAAGCGTGCTTGTGGAACGAAGACACTAGTTCCGTACGGTCGTTTTGGGGTTATGATCCCCCTTTTTGCGCTCTCACCCCGGACGGCTGGCCAATTTTCGTAAATCCACCCTTCTTTTCCGTTGTTCGCGGCCAAAGTCGGCCGCAGAAGGGGGTCCACGCGGTGCACAAGGATCTTTCTTGCGCGCTCGCGGCGTTGGGCGCTCGAAAACTGCTCGGTAGACCATCCTCGTGACCATTTTCCACGTGGTTATTTAGAAACGGTAAGAAACCGTAAGAAACCGTAGGCAACCATTTTGGTTTCCAAATACATCTGAGGCCGTTTTTTTAAGTTGGCACTCCCAGACGCAGAATATCCACACGAGTGCGATTCCGTCGTCAGAAATAGGCTACGATTTTTTCCCAAGGCGTGAGATGGAAAAACGTAGCCCAAATCGCGACTCAATTAAAAGCCGGTAAACGGGACGTATCGCGATATAAAGAACCGGTTTTCGGTACAGCTCTCCATTTGCATAGGAGCGTGAGAGCGCGATCATCCGATCGGTGCGGCCAGGCGTGGCCGATAGCTGTCCGCGTGGACGCTTGGGAGATATTCCCATTTTGGGCCACACTCCCGGAGGGCTCGCCAATTTTGAAGGAATCTTTGTCCATTTGCGCGGGATCCGTCCAGTACGGGTTGCCTCGCGGTGCACAGTCGCTCGCCGCTAGCTCCGGGGGTTGCATAGCACGTCCGCCGCTTGTTTTCCCCCGAGGCTTGTGCGCGAGCGAACGTCCGAGCGGTGCGACAGACAGCGGCCAAAACTTGCGCTACGCATGTGCGCTTGATCCTTGTTGGCGCGAGCGCCAATACCGGTCGATAAACGGCTGCGAAAGCCCATCGGCGGGCTCGTAGGTGTCGTCCGAAGCGGCATATCCATACGACCGGACCTTGTAGTCGATCCCGCCGCGCGCAGTACGGTGTCCGACAATGCGGTCAACGACGTACTCCGCGCTTGGCGTTGCGGCTTGTGCGTCCGGTTCGGTCGATGTGGCCGAGGTAACGGTATCCCCCGTGTACTATAAACCCCCCTGGGGGTTTAAATTAGATTAGATCCAGAACTAGATCAGCTACTGTAGAGCGTCGAGCTCTACAGTACAACCGCGCGTGTCCACGTGTACACCACGGGGACAAGGGACACGCGCATACACGTGCATACGTGTACAGCGCGCGAACGAAGCGCGCACGCACCACGGGTAATACGTGTACTGTCAGCCTCGACATAGCTGACAGTATTACAGTGCAGGCCGACCTGCACTACAGTAGCCCACTACAGTACCTCGGTACTGTAGTGTTATGATAGATTGTTTTGTATATTAAATATGGAGCGGACCGACGGCGGCGGAGGGGGACAAGCACGGACTTGTCCTCAATCGACCGCCAAGGTCAGTCCACCCAGCTTATTCTAAACGTCGCCTTCGCTCTTCGCGCGCGTTTAGTCGGAGCCGAGCCGGAGTGGACGCGCAGCACGCGAGCGAGCACGGAACCGCCTCCGCCCGTCAGCACTGGTACGTCACCCAGTGCTGCTCCGGGGCGTCGAGGCGTCGATCTGTTCGTGCGTGCGCGCGTCCCTGCTCGCTCCCGCTCTACCACCGCTACCCGGGCCGGAGCCCGGTTCCGTAGCTGGTTGGCCCGCTTCCCCCTTCTCCGATCCGGGGTCTACAGGTCGAACTGCGCATGCACCTCCAGTCGTCTGGGGGTGTTTATGCTACACCCCGGCCCGCCCGGCATCTTCGTAACGCGGTCGATGCTCACGCGATTTTCCACGCCGTCCTGCTCGATGAGGACCGTAGTATCCGTAGCGGAGCGCACGCGAAACGGACTCTCTGTCTTCGGTAGTAGTTTGACAGAGAGCTCGTCCGTTCCGGTCGTACCTTGCGCACGCGTGCGGCGCTCGACGTTTGTCCACGGGCGGGGCGAGCGATCGACGTGGACAAAATCGCCCGCACCAACGACCGGACGGAAGCGGACCTTCTTGTCAGAATCGTCCTTGTACCGCATTTGCGATGCCGCTAATTTCGCCCGAGCGCGGTCGAGAGCGTCGCGAAGCTTGCGCAGCGTAGCGCGCTTGTACTGCACCGGGGTCCGCGGGTCCTCTCGATGGGTCCCCGCGTCCTGCGGGACAGTACCAGGTAGAATTAGACCGGAGGGTGGGCGCGTTAACACCAGGTCAAACGGAGTCGTCTCCGTCGACCGGTGGACCTGCGTATTGTACGCGAAGGTCAGCGGCTGCGCGTAGTCGTCCCAATCGCGCTGGTGCTCCTCCACGTAGTGCCGGAGGCATTGCACCAGCGTGCGATTGAACCGTTCGGTCTGCCCATTCGACTGGGGGTGGTAGGCCGTCGTGAGATAATGCCGCACCCCCCAGGAGGGCGCATACGGCGTCGAAGAATTTCGCAGCGAACTGAGAGCCGTTGTCGGTTAGTACGTAGCGCGGCTCTCCGTAGACGTAGACCCAGTTGTCTAGAAACGCGTTCGCAACGACCGAAGCGGTTGTGGTCCGGAGCGGGATACTGCGCGTTAGCTTGGAGAACCGGTCGGTAATTACCAACACGTGTTGGTTTCCGTTCGCGGTCCTGGGCAGGGGCCCCAGGAGGTCCATCGCGACAAACTCCAAGGGGCCCGCCGCGGGGAACAGCTTGAGATCCTTTTGGTTCTTGACAAGCGTCCCGCGGGTCGCAGCGCACGAGGTGCAATTCCGTAGGGTCGAAAACGCGTCGCTGGCCATGTGTGGCCAGTAGTACTCCCTGCGAAGGGTGTAATACATACGCGTTGCTCCCGGGTGACCTCCCAACCTCGGATGTTGTGCCAGGTACAGTACCCGGGGCGCAACCGAGTCGGTACCACGCGCTGCAGGGTTCCATCCAGCGAGCACTTCCTGACCAGAAACCGTAGCGGTCAATGTCGAACTTCGAGTTCGGCGTCCCAACGGTTTCCGCGGCAAAGCGGCAGAATGCGTCCTCAGCTTGTTCGCGTAGAAATTCCTCAACCGAGATGGACGCAGCGTCGCGTTCCTCGGGAGTTATCGCGAGCGCGTGACAACCGTCCGGACGGTCTTGCGGCGGGTCCCAGTTTACATTGTCCAGGAGGGCCTGGCTGCCCTCATCGTACTGGACGGCGAAGCACGGGCCCTCATCATCGACCGCTTCGGTGTCTCCTCCATCGGTACGTAAGCGCGATACGCCGTCCGCGAGTTGGTGCTTGACGCCTGGGCGGTACTGTACCTCGTAGTCGTACTCCGCCAAGCCCAGGCGCAAGCGAGCGAGCCGACCGGAACTGTCCGCTAAATTCAGGACCCAGCGTAGGGCCTCGTGATCCGTGCGGAGGTTGAACGCGCTTCCGTATAGATACCGCCGTAGGGTGAGGATGCTCCACACTACGGCTGTAGTGCAATGTGCCTGTCAGGCCGGAACCAGGGTCCAACGGTCCAGCAACAACACAACCAACAAGAGTTGCCGACGGCACAGCCCTACGGAGTGTCCGATTCTCCCTTTCCCTTTAAGTGGGTTTGCGGCCCACAGTAGCTCAAATCCCTGATAGGGGGGCAAAAGGAAGGAATCCCCCTTCAAGCTATTGTAGTGCACTGTACTCGGTACCGTGACAGCTGTCCTAATCTCGCCAAAATCGCGCTCGCCGCCACCACGTGTACCACGGGTACACGTGGACCCCTGTCTCTCTGCCGGACCATACCGGTGGATACGTGTGAGCCCTCCGCCACCTGTCGGGTCTATAGGGGCCGTTACTTGGTCGCCTCGGGGCTACACCCGTTATATTCTAGTTATTCTAATTCACAGTATAATTCAGCTTCGGCATGAAGGCGACGGGGACTATACAGTCAGCCCGATGATGATCAAAGTAAAGAGCCACGAAGCCTCGGGTCTTTTACCTTGGTTTCTGGATTCCAGGTTGTAGCCTCGACTCGGTACTGGCTCGCCCATACCGACCGAGCCATCTACACCCCTGGAATCCCAACTGCCTTCCCCGCGCGCTTCGACCCCAACCGCGCGAGCGCTACGTTAAGTACTGTGCTGTCCGTTCTGTTAGTTCTGTTTTTCCTTTAATTCTTCCTCTTTATTGCTGACTACGTTGCTACTTTCCTACCGCGCAAGCCGCGCCCGGATCCCGGTTCCGGTCATCCACCGGGTGGTCTCCCGAATTCCCTTACGCGTTCGAACTCGCGTCGCTCTGCCTACAGCCGCCACACCTGGCTGTAGTGCACGACATTTTGGTCTCCCGACCTAGAAACAGTCTATACTCTCGTGCATCCGAGTGTCCTCTTTCTTCCCTGACCTACTTTCCCTTTCTATCTCTCCTCCCTGCGCCCTTCCCTCACGCACCGATCGTAGGTGTATACACCATGGTGACCGGCTCCGAGTCGTCCCATGACACTCGTCCGAGAGACGTCCCAGCGCCCGTCGCGGCGTGGATCACGCGGAACCGCCGCGAAGGCCTCCGTGAAGCCGAGAGGTTTTCTCTCAACTTGATCGAGGAGAAACTCAACTCGCACACCGCCAAGATACGCGAGATGTTGGACAGCCTTGTTGCTTGTAAAATCGCCGCGCAGGCGGAGGTACAGTCCCAACAGGGACGTGATTGCCTCGCCGCACTAGAAGGCGTTCTAACTCGGGCATGGCCAAAGGACATCGGGTCCACCGTCGACAAGACGCTCCTTCCCCTACGAGAGGAAGTAAATCGCCTGACGCAGGAAGTCAACGACCTCCGTCGGCGTAACCTCGCCTTGGAATCGGCGCAAACACGACCCGTCCCCGCTGGACAAGACAAGTCGACCGCGTCGAAGCCGAGACCATATCCGCAGTTACATGCGATACAACCGTTGGACGAAAATCTACTGTTCGCCGACGTCACCAAATCGGCCCTCACGGCCGCCGGGATCCCGCTCCCCGATCCCCTAACTATGGAGGGACAACGGGATCCTATCCCGGACCTAGCGGCCGCCCGAGGCCCGTCGCCAAGATCGTCAAGCGACAAGAAGGTCAAGACCGAAGGCCGCCGTCACAAGTCCGGCCACGGAAGCCGACCTGACCCGGAGGATTTCTCCGGTTACTCGGGTGGATCCCCGCCCTCAGCTTCAGAATCCGACTCCGATTCGGACTCCGAAGCCGAGGCATTCACGGTACCACAACCGACCTTCGGCCCTAAGGCGAAGAGTGTCACGGTGTGGAAACCGACCAACCACCGCTTCCGAGGCGCGTGTAATTATCGAGCTTACCGTCTCGTGAATACCGACCCCACCGTCGATGCAAAGGTGTACGCCACGACGCGTAAGCGCGTGCAATATTTCCTCGTCGTAATGGGAGAGTACAAGTTTAACGGGTCCGACCCGATCAAAGTCATCAGCTTTTTGGCTAGATGTAAGGAGAATTTCGACAACGCAGAAATGTGCGAGGCAATGGCTCTCATGGCCTTGCCGCATCTCTTCAACCCGCCGGCGAAGGAGGCGTATGAATACCATCGAGGATATTTCCGACGCAATCAAGGGATTGCGTCGTGGCCAGCAGCAGTGAACTGGTTGCTTTGTACGTATGCTACGAATATTCAGATCGATCAAGCACTCTCTGTGGTGCTGGATTTAGGCCAAAACCCCGGCGAAGTTGAGACCGAGTATGCGACTCGTATGTTAACCGCCCTCGCGCGGTGTGGGGACATCCATTCCCCCTATGAACGCACTACCTTGTTCATAGAGGGCCTCCTTCCGGCGATTAAGCCGTTGGTGCTCCAAGCAAGGGAGAATCGCCCCCGATCCTCATTCGAGGACACGGTGGCCGAAGCCCGCGCTCAAGGGGCGGCCTACCGCGCGCAGACGGCTGGCGGAAGAAGACGCGTTGACTTCGCAAGACCCGCCGCCAAGCAAGTGTTGGCGACAGCAGACAGTATGCCCTCATCGACAACCGCGGGTCTGACCCCGAGCTATCATATCGGCCTGGACGCCAAGAACTTCCTCGCCAATGACGAGCCATTCGCCGCGGCAGCTGGGTCACCGTCATTTCCCACCGAGGGATCCTCATCCAACGACAAGGATTCGTTGTTCTACGGAGAGCGACCTACAAGGACCCGCCTAGGCTTCCGAGACCGCGCGAGAAGTCTCCCGGATGGGCTGGTCGAGAGGGAACCCGGGACATGAAGATACCTTCCCCGCAAATCATCTGCTACACATGCTACAAATTTGGGGATCATATTAACCCCGACTGTAGCATGAAGGTGCGCGATGTGTCGCTCGTCCCTCATAATTTGGAGAAGCTCACGGCGGCACAGAAGGCCCGTGTTCCGGCGGACGCGTACTTGCGCGCTGTAGCCCTCCTCAGTTTCGAGGCGAATCGGCTGATCGCACCCGTCCTGCCGTCGAGATCCCCCTCCGCTTCGGGGAAGTCAAGTCCCCCTCGCGGTAAGACCGCACCTCCGAAAAACTAGGAGACCCACAGCTGAAAATCGCTGACATTCCATCGCGGGACACCGCGTCACCCCCGCCCCCGAAGCCGGCGATCCGCGTCTTGGGACGGAGACACGCTCGCCAAGCGAGCCCCTTCAGCCCCGATCCGACGGGCATGGGGACGCTCCGCCGACCGTGGCGTCTTAACAACGGGAGGGGCTCCCCCGATGACAAGGCCGTCGAGCCAGTTTGTACGCTGTCTCGACGTAATTACAAGGTCTGCGCCGACCTTGGGATCACCACCTCCATCATGGTGCGTCAACTCACCATCCTGGACACGGGTGCCGGCTCCAATTTTGTCCGCGCCGACACCCTGCCCAAAGGATGGGAGAGCGTAATCGAACCGGGGGAAGTCCCGACGATCGCCGACGCGAACGGGCGGCCGTTACGAACAAGCGGGTCCATCACCCTCGTTGTTCGACTAGCAACTCGCACCATGAAATGCAAGTTCATCGTGTGCGAGAGCCTGGCAGCCCCCGTCATCCTGGGCTGTGACTTTAACGACAAGTTTGTCGAGGCCATCTTTCCACGTCGGAAGGTGGTCGAGCTCGATGATGGGACGAAATTCCCGATCGTCAGAAAACCGGCAACTCGTCGAGCCGAAGCACCTCCGCTCCCCTCGGAGCAGGAGTATGAAAACGACCCAGGTCGAGTTTCCCCCAAACTCAAGGTTTCTCGTCCGGTTATCATACCACCCGGGACACAAGCCTGGGTGCATGTGACCAACGGTCGTACGGGTCTTTCCGTATTGGAACCCAACCCGCAGTTATATGCGAAACACCGCGTCTCCCTGTCGAATGGGGTCGCGCACATCACCGCACTTCGAGAGTTCAAGGTCTTGGTAGCCAACTTCGCCTCAGCCCCCAAGCGCCCCTCGAAGAACCAGGTGCTGGGGTACGCTACCCCTCATCCGCGTGCCATGATACGCACCACGATGCCTCTCGACGCCCTCCTAGCGGCGGAATTTACAGAAGGGGACAAGCCCCAATCTGAGAAGGGGGAGAAGCTCCCCCCGGCTTCGTCGAAGGAAGAACCCCAAGAGATTGACGCTGTCTCCCTCCAACATCTGCCGTCGCATGTCCGCACGCGAGTACGTGACATGCTTACGCCGTACTCCCGTATGTGGAGTGGCGATCTCGGGGAAGTCCGGGCTACGCAGCACCGGATCGACCTCAACCCCGGCTCGAAGCCGTTTCGATGTCAGCCATATCGGGCTGGACCACGGTCTCGACAAGCCGAACAAGACGCCGTGGATGGGATGATCTCAAGCGGGGTCATCTCCCGATCGCAATCCGAGTGGGCATCTCCGGTAGTTCTCA